CCACCGGCTGGCACGCACGGCCACCATCCGCGTTTCCGTCCCAGTCAACATGGAGCTGATCGGTCTAGAGAAGCGGTTTGCAAAGTGGGCTCCCTGGGCCAGCAGCAGCATCTGCGAACTTGCTAGAAATGCAGGCTCTCAGGCTTCCCCACACACCTACTGAATCGAAGCCACAGGGACAATCCGGAAAGCTGCGTTTTAACACACCTCTCGGCGACTCTGAGGCTGGCTCTAGGTTCCGGAGCCCCAAGGTTCTCAAAAATCACAGGGAGGGCATTTCCCGGGCTTGTGCTTAGTCCTGGGGCGCTTTGAAAATTGTGGTTCTCCGTTAGGATCAATAAAAGGGGGGAACAACAATCACGCTGAAAGAGCAAGTAGGAAGAGACAGACAAACCTCCTGGAAGTGAACGCCCAGATCATTTCAAAAGACCAACGGACAGAAGATGGCAAAACGTCGCATGTTTGTGGGGGAATGGCTCCTTCAACAGTGGGAGTGATTCTGCAAACACCGAAGCGGGCAATGTCTGAGACACAATGCCTGCGCGGCAGACGACAGTCAAGACGCAAGGCAAAAAGGATTCTCAGGTATCAAAGACAGGTGGGTGCAGGGCCACAGGGGCAGGGCCAGCAGGGGGTGCTGGCCAGCCTCACGGCCATTTGGAGAACACCAAGAGCCTGTGTGCTGTCCTAGGGCCCGAGGAGAAGTGACAACTCCTAGTCGGGGATGTTCTGCAGGTTAAAGGCTCAGGTCACTCTGTAAAGCAGGGGTCCTCAAACTTTTTAAACAGGGGGGGGGGGCAGTTCACTGTCCCCCAGACCGTTGGAGGGCCGTTGGAGAGTGCAGCGCGCATTCCGCACATGCGCACTGTGGGCCCGGGACGAGTCGGCCGCAAAGCAGGACAGGCAGCGGCGGCAAAAGCACCCGGCGGGCCGGATAAATGTCCTCAGCGGGCCATATGCGGGCTGAGGGCTGTCGTTTAAGGACCCCCTGCAGTAGTAAAGCATGGATGCGTTGGCCTGTTTAGGCAAGCGGGAGCTCACTACGCAGTCCTCCTGGGCAGAACCCATAGCTATTCCACACAGACGAAACCAGTGTCCTTTTTTAGCAGACAAAAAGATACCTGGTAGAAAGCATATCAGTGAGGGGAAGACGCTATGCCAGGGTTTTAAAACTCTGAAGGACCCAATCGCCTCCCTGCTCCCAAGCTTCAATTCCAAGTACCACCAGATCTACCGACAAATGCATCCACAAATGCACCGTCTCTTGCAACCAGACACATGTGCAGGAGCTCCTGTGCACGCCCGTGGCTGCTGAGACTCAGCACTGAACATGCACGACCCACGCCTTGCCCCCGGGGCTCCCCGCTCATTCGATTGGGGTGGGGACCAACTTAACAAGCTCCTGAGGGGATACCGAGGCAGATGGTCCTCAGTCCACAGAGCCGTCAGCCGTTACCAGAGAGGAATCAGAAGCACAGACTCGGGGCTGTGGGAAAAACGCAGTCTGAAACCAAAACACCACCCGCCGGAGCCCCGATTTAGCATTTGTTCCCACGGCAGATCGGGGAGTCAGCAGTAAGTGAGTAACGTGTTACATAAGTGGCTGTTCCGCATGCGGAACCTCAACGCACCACAGACGAGTTAAAAACCATATAAAAAGCAACAGCCCACCCCCAAAACAAATGCTATGTGTGTGCAGCCAGGCTCTCCCCAGCCCCCGCCGCCAGGCAAAGACGAGCCCTCCTCTGTGCCCCAGCCCCCTCCCCAGCTCACCCTTCAGCCCCTGGGAACAGGACTGCTTGGTCCAGGGTCAGGCAGGGCGGGGTCAGGAAAGCAGGCACGAGGAGGATGGTCAGGCCTCCACGTGGGCATCAACACTGGCTTCAGCAAAGCTTCCCTCTGGCCGAAAACCTAAGTGAAGCCATGTTTTGCTGGACTCTTCCCTGGGAAGTTCTGGAACCACAAAAACTCCTCTGTATCGGATCCTGTCCAAGAACCTCAAACCACTCTCTTCGACATCACCTCTCTCCCTCTGGCAAGCATTCCTTGTCCTTTCCTGTCCCCGGTTCCCTCGGAACCCGGATGAGGAATTAGTTCCAACTGGGGTGTTGAAGGCTGACACTGGCTGGGACATTTATCACGCCAGTGACCACAGAAGCTGTCAATGTGGATATGGCAAAGTCGTGCATGTGCATGTAACATACATGTTACTGCTTCCCGGAAGCCAGTTTCAGGTGTTTTCTCAACAAGGAGCCAGAAGTAGCCACTCCAACTTGCTGGAGATTAGACTGTAAGTTTCAGAGGGAAAAGGCCTCACCTATCTCTTTACTGCTCTACTCCAAGCACCGAACAGCGTGACTACTCTTAGGAAGTACTCGAAAAAAAAAAAAAATCAGTATTGAATTACATTAAATTGACACCTGACGTGAAACTTCATTGCCACCCCCATTTTACGATGAAACGCGTCTCAAAATGCAGTAGAGTCACCCAGGGTGATTGTAGAAAGCCCATCTTCTGGGCTCCCCCTACCCCAGACTTAGTAAATAAGAATCTACGGGATCTGCATTTTTCACAAGTTTCCGGGTAATCTTATACACGTGCAATTTGGAAAGCACGGCCTTAACCTAGCAGGGGTCTCGTGGGCACTCACAGTATAGGATGTGATTAAGCAAAAGGGCTTCATCACATCTTTTTCGGAACAGCCAAAAGAGAACTGGATAGAGACAGGCAGCTTCCTCCTCTCCCTCCAGGCACGGGCCCAAGTGGAGTAGAGAACATACAACAGGCAAAAATGAGGAAGACAAGAGGTGAGGGATGAGAAAGGTCTAGAAGAGCATTTTGGAGTTCACAGAGCTACCATGGACCTCACTGGGCTGGTCCTCAGCTATTTCCCCTGGTCATGGGGTTCCACGCCCAGTTACCAGGTCATGGACCAAGGGGCATCAGCCAGAGAACACGACTGGCAGCCCTGCCCCACTGTGGGAAGTTGCATAGGATGAGAGACGCACCTCCATCTAGACCTCTCTACGAGTCCGGCTTCTCTCCTGGCGCTGCATTCCGGCCACGACGGTCCCGTACTCTCTGGGTGGCCACATTCTGAGCAGGGGCAGGGGGCCACCGAGAGCCAGCATGCAGGGCCTCAAGCCTGGGCCTTGCACCTGCACCCGGGCAGCCTGGACATCTCCCCTCGCCACCCGTCCCAAGACAGGGAACCCCGCCACCGCCACCGGCAGCTGTCACGGGAACATCAAACGTGGGTGTTTATGCCAAGCCTCATTTACACAAGCCTACTCCTTCCCGTGTGCCGGGGCGCGATGAATTTCTAAAACAAACAGCGTTTGCATATGCGAGCAGGCACGGTCACGTCGGCATCGGGGGATCCCCAGACGGAAACGTGAGTCAGTCTGGGGCAAAGACTGCTAAATAAATCCTGCCTGGGTGAAACTCCCCTCTCTGGAGAGAGAGGAACCTCGAAGCGGATTGCTCAGATTCCCCAGCAAGAGTCCCTAAGGATGGCACGGGCTCCCAGGGTGCCTAAGCTCCAAAGGCTTGGAGCTCCAAAACTGCCATCGTCATCCTCGTCACCCCATCCCCCCATCCTCCCGTGCACACTCCCGGCAGGCCGGCCGCCTGCACCCCAGCACCCCTATTCTTCCACACCCACTGCGGCTCCATCGGGGCGTCCCAGGGCCCCGCTCTGCTGGCTCGGGTCATCCACGCTCACGCAGGGCTTCCTGACACCCACAGGCTTGGGGCTCCGGCAGCTAAAGAGGAAAACGCCACCAGGTAGACAGGCGGGTGTCTGAGAAAGCAGGAAGTGCACGTAACTGGCACCGACGGCTAACCTCAGCCTCGGGCCCCGAAGGACTGAGTTAAGGAGCAAGTGGACTACCGAAGAAACGTCAGGATCGGCAGCTTGCATCACCTGGGTCGCTGCCTCCTCCTTCCTTCATTTTGTCTGCAGAGACTCGGCAGAAATGGGGGGGGAGGGGGGTATGCCATAATCCAACACAACACACGCAGCTGTGCCGCTTCCAGGATGGAGCAAGAAGGTGCAAACCAAAAGAATGGGACCCGCAATGGTCTGAATGTTGGTGTCCCCCCCCCCGGAAATTCCTAAGTTGAAACCTCACCCCCAATGCAACAGCATGAAGACGGGCAGTGACTAGGTCATGGGATTAGCGCCTTATAAAAGAGGCCTAAAGGAGCGTCTTGCCCCTCCTGCCCCGTGAGGACACAGAAGGCACCACCTACGAGGAACAGGACCTCATCACACACGGAGGCTGCTGGCACCTTGAACGTGGACTTCCCAGCCTCCAGAACTGTGAGCAATCCATTTCTGCTATCTATCAATGGCTCGGTCTCGGGTGTTTTGTTCCAGCAGCCCGAATGCACCCAGAGAGGACCTCAGACAGAAACAGCGCCCATCATCCATCCCAGCGACAGCAGGAGGGCCAGAGGCACCAGCGTTGGGGCTGGGTTGGTGCACTCCAGCTCCAAACTGGGTCTGAGCAGGAGGAGTGGACCCCACCCCAGACCCCACCCCTCTGGGCCGCACCCCTGGGGGCATGATGAGACTGCAGGCAGCGGCTCTGCGAGGTGCCCCGGAGAGGCACCTGCCCTCTGCAGACACGGGTCTCAGGTCCTAGGCGTGGGGACATTGGGCTTCCCTCAGAGAGGTGGCTCCAGAGTGATCACCACGGCTCTGGGTGTCGTGAAGCACAGCCAGGAATTTCCAACCCAATCCAGACCTCGGAGGGAGTGCCCCTGGCGTGGCCTCGCTCCATGCATGGGTGTCTGGGACCAAAACGGGCAAAGGGCCAAGTGCACGTGGCCCCAGGTGCAAGAGGTAAAGAGAGAACTACCAGCTAGCTAAGATCGGGGACACACAGGTGTGGGGGTCCCGGGTATTTCCCCAGGATGCAGGCAGACCCCACTCCCACCCCCGGCCACCGCGGCCAGAGCCAAACCCAAACCCGAGAGAAAGGAAAGCCACGAACCGAGCCCATTCTCCGCCAGCGTGGCGGCGTGGCTCCCGTCGCACTCGCCCACGTCCTGCTCTCCAACCTGGTCGCTCAAGTCCAGGCCGGGCTGGTGGGACCCGTTTCCGAAGTGCCTCTCGTCCTTCTCGGGGCCGGCGTCCCCGTTTTCCACCCCGTTCTGGGCCTTCTTCAGGGGCATGATCTGCAAGCCGCTGGGCGTAGTCCTGTAAGACACGGTCTTGGCGGCCCTGTCGCCCCCCGCGGGGGGCTTGCCCGAGCACCCCTTTTTCAGCTTGGACAGGGGAGGGTTGATCCGCTTCCGCTTGTGGGAGGTCGCCTTGCTCTTGCCCGGCTCTGGGGGCCTGTGGGCGAGTTTCTCCACCGGGGGGCCGCGGCCATCGCGCAGGAGCTTGGAGCTGCCCGGCTGCTTCCCGGACTTGACCCTCTTCTCCTTGGACACGTGCAGCCCGTTGAACTCGTCGATGAACTCCTCGCAGTGCAGGAGGTGGTGCTCCGGCTCCCACGTGTCCTCCGCGCTCCCGTAGCCCTTCCACCGGATCAGGTACTCCCATTTCCCCTTCTTGTTCTTCCTCTTGTCCACGATCCTTTCCACCTGCGACACAGGCAAGAAGAGAGGGTCAGGAAAGAGAGAGAGAGAAGACGACAGTCAGCTCCACCAGGCAACGAGAACAGAACAAAGCCACGGGGGGACAGAGGCCGGGCCACCCTGGCCGTGGGTGAGCCGTTCAACGCCAGAAGCCGACGCTTGCAGGAGGGGTTCGAGAAGGCTGGTTTATTTTAGGGCACGGCTGAACAGAACCAAAGGCGCGTGCGGTCATTCGCCAGGACGGCTTGTGACACCGTGCCCGGCTGACGGCAACTCCACGTGTCCGTCCAGGCTTAGCCGTGTTTGAGGCCGCACTGCAAGCTTTCACAAGAGATCTTTATTCTTTTTCTCACTGCACCCAAGTAGTAGACTCAGACTCTGCAAGGCTAATTCGGAATTTGGTGTGGGTTTTTCATCATGACCTATAATAATGATAATAATAATAATAATGACACTTACGGAGCAATTAAACGGAAGGCGCCACGCTAGTTCGTCGTTACTTAGAATAATACTAATAATTAGTAACATCCATTGGGCGCTTATGAGGCAGACAGGATGCTAAATGCTGGCGTAGACTCTCCTATTTCATTTTCTCCTGACAACAACCCAGTGAGGTTAAGTATTTTTTTTCTAGTAGCCCCAACTTATAGCGAGGGAACTAGGGCGCAGGGAGATAAAGGAAGCCAACCAAGTTCCCAAGATGGTATAAGGGCACACCTGGGGTTCGAACCACTCTCACCCCGACCTCTTTTCTTACTCGCCAGGCCATTCTACCGCTCGACTGCAAAAATCTCCCGTACTGACCACAAAGGACTTGAATCTAAAGAGTCCAATTCTCCCCATGCGGCTCCCCCAGCTGCAACACAGGGGTACAACTGCTGAGCACCTACTGTATACCTTGCACAACCCCGTGGGTGTACACTATTGGCATTCCTATTTGACAGATGAAGAGATCGAGTGTGAGGTGGTGGAGGTGGCAAGGGAACCTGTACCTGGCAGGCTCTGAAGCCATGAGCCACTGTCTACACATCTTCAAAGGTAAGAAAACATCCCCAGTCTCCATGTAATCCCGCAGGAAAACACACATAGGAAAATGCTGGTCCTGGTGCTAATAATTAGTGTATCTAAGTGAAGGGTATGTGAGGGTTCACTGACTGTTCTTTCACCTTTAAAAGTGGATTTGAATTTTTTTTTTAATTAAAAATAAAATTCCCCCAAAATGCTAGATTTCAATGAAAAAGTAGCAATCATATTCAAAAGTTTATTATTTTTCAATGTCGACATAATTCCCCAGAATGAAATTCTGACCCAATGAAATTAAGTAACATGTAAAGAATATGTCTTTGAAACTTATGAAAAGAAAAATCAAATCAGTCGGGGAAAGTGGGCACAGTTATGGTTGATAATTGTTGAAATCGGGTAATGGATACATAGGGGCGTTCATTATATGATTCTGTTCACGTTTACATGTTTCAATTTTTATTTGTTTAAAAATTTCATAATAAAAACTGTTGAAAAGCGGGATTGTCTCATCAATGGTTTACAAACTACAGAGGCTATGCAAAATAATTAAACAACTTCCGTTGCTTTGCACTTAATAAATATGTAAATAGCAAGGCCACATTGGCTCATTATAGCGCTGTCTCTTCATAGACAATTTTAATTGTTTCCTTAAATTGATTTATCTCAACTCAAACTGGCCTATGTCTATTAAAATCTCTTCCCTTATAAAATGCTCTGTGAACATCTGTTTTAGATTTATTACATAATTTTCAGAGGTGCCACATGAACTCTGTAATAGTTTTCAAAAAGTAAAATCATGCCTAATGATTCCAACTTCCAGCGTATGGGTCAAGGAGTGAGGCTAGTTGAGTGTGTTCATTTGTAGCAATGCTTTGGAAACCCAAGAGTGTTACTAGAAGATCCTGAAGCTTCCCCATTTTGAGGATATTGTAGGGAGAAGCCTTCTATAGGTCTACTGAGGGAAGAAAGTGCTGGAAAGAGCAGCATGCCCCAGGACACCAGCCTAAGAGTGTCAGGGCAAGCCCAGACATTTCTTTGGAGCTAAGGGATGTGTACTGGCATGGGGGCCTTCAGGTCTAAGAAGGTGTGCTCGGCTCCCAGGATGGAGAAACTTCTTCCCCAGGATGAAGCAGGGGAACATGTTCGACAAACAGCCAACACAGTGGGTGAGTGGGTGAGTGGGTGGATGGATGGACAGATGGATGGATGCAGGATAGGTGAAAAGGTGGGCTGAGAGTTGGGTTCATACACAGAGGGGTAGATGAATGGATAATGGGATGGACAGGTGGGTGGATGGATGGATGGATGCAGAATAGGTGAAAAGGTGGGTAGAAAGTAGGGTTCATACACAGATGGGTAGATGAATGGATAATGGGATGGATAGGTGAATAGATGGATGGATGAATGGTTGGACGGACGGACGGACGGACGGACGGATGGATGGATGGATGCAGAATAGGTGAAAAGATGGGTAGAGAGTTAGGTTCATAAATAGATGGGTAGATGAATGGATAATGTGATAGATAGGTGAATAGATGGATGGATGCAGGATAGGTGAAAAGGTGGGTAGACAGGTGAGTTCATAAACAGATGAGTAGCTGGATAGATAGTGGGATGGGTAGGCAAATGGATGGATAGATAGATGCAGGATGGGTGAAAGGGTGGGTACAGAGGTTGGTTCACCAATGGATGGATGGCAGTCACTTATCAAAATGAGCTTAGTATAATAGTCAAGAACACAGGCTTTGGAGCAAGACTATCTGGTTTAAATCCCCTGATAAGCCTTTTGCTGTGGGTTCTTGAAGAAGTTGAGCCTCCGATGACTCATACAGCAAGGCGGAAGTTATAGCACCCACCCATAGGGTAGTCATGGGGAATATGCAAATGCATATTTTTGTATTCCACGGTAAAGGTCACTTGATCTTGCATAGCCTCCTGTGACTACAACTCTTGGTGGCGTCGACAGACAGAATGTTTCCCCACCCTTCAGAATATGACCCCTTAGGACAGTCACCTCCTCCCTGGGAAGAAGAGAGTGTACCTACTTAGATTAGTCCTTCCCCACATGGAAGGCAGCCATGCATAGTCGGGCTGCCTGAGAAGCTGGGGGTCAGCAAGGGTGCAGGGTCTAGATCAGGGGTCCTCAAACTTTTTAAACAGGGGGCCAGTTCACTGTCCCTCAGACTGCTGGAGAGTGCACACTGTGGGCCCGGGATGAGTCGGCTGCTAAGCAGGACAGGCAGTGGTGGCAAAAATACCCGGAGGGCCGGATAAATGTGCTAGGTGGCCCGCATGTGGCCCGAGGGCCATAGTTTGAGGACACCTGGTCTAGATGGCTATTTGGGGGCACGCTTGATGGGTGAGGCTTAGTTTTGTTCCCTCTAAGTGACTGGCAGTTTCAAACACAAAGTCACAAGTTGCTTTATGTGGGACATCGAGCCTACTGCTTCCACCTCTGCTCCCATCCACAAAGCCACTGGGTGGCTTGACAACCATGTCCACTTAAATTAACCCCAAACCAATGACGAGCAGTATTAACAGCAACATCTCTAACAGCCTGGTATGTGGAGGGAACATTTGGCTCTGACTTTATCCTTGTGACCCTGGGCAAGTGACCCAACCTTTCTGGGCCTTGGTGTCCCCATCTGTAAAACAGACTAATAATAATAATGATGATAATAATAATAATAATGACAAATACCTGCAGGGTTGATGGGAGAACTAAAAAGGACTAAGACATGAGAAAAGGATCTTGAATACCACCAAGCACTGCAAGGAGATGGGAAGATGGCTCGTATATGAAACTTTAGTTGACAAAAGTGCTTTTAGATACGTTATTTCACCCAAACAAACAAGAAGTTTTTTCAGGTTCAGTAAAACAACTGCTTTTCCTGAAAGGCCAGAATGCCCACAAGGAGCTCAGAGGAAAGCTGGCTCCCAAGTACCCTACCAGACGTGCATTTCCATCATCTCCAGGGACCTCAGCCCCTTCTGCACACCACCCCCCTGCAGATTTTCTCACCCTCTTTCCCTCTTCTTCTAAAGAGCATCTCAAACAGAACCTGAATTCTAACTCGTTCTGTTGATCACAGAAGCCCAAGTCATTTAGGACTTGATCTTGCGTAAACTGCGACATTCTCTGTCTGGGAAACCCTTTCTCCTTCTTAAGCTCCCTCAAACCTCCACTGCAGCCTAACCCTCTGCCCCTGCTGAAAACAGAGAGTGAGTCCCCCCTGGGCCTGGCAGCTCCACCTCCTGATGCCCCCCACCCTACCTGCAAAGACCACACGAAGCTCAGTCCTTTCCAGGAGAAACAGTCGTTAATTCCCTTCCCTTGTACTTGCACATAGAAACAAATGCATGAATGACATTAGAAAATCTTGGGTGCACACCCCCCACCAGCTTCTTTTTGTCAAAGATAAGCGATGAGACGTTGAACTATTCCTTAGAGTTCAATCAAATCGCTAATTATCATTTGCTCTCTGCGTGATCCCAGCGAATGTGAGAAGCTGCTCTACGGCAGGTGGGGGCAGGAGAATTCTGATGCAATTATTACTGGTGCCCTGATGTCACACCATTAGGATTAATAACGGTGACGGTCCCCTTGATTTGGTACACGCTAAGTTCCAGGAACTGTGTTTTAAATCACTTTAAGGTGCCAGGTTGCATCCTTGATACCCGGCCTTTCAGCTGGACAGCATTCTCACCACGTGACAAGGAAAGAAACTGAGGCTCGGAGAGGGTAGGTGACTTTCCCACGATCACACAGCCAGTAGGTGGTTAGCCAAGATCTGAATTCAGGGTCGTCCGACTCTGAGGATGAACTCCTAACCACCTGGCCATGTCTCGCCAGCGGGAAGCCACCGGAACCGGGCAGGGCCCAGCGAAGCTGCCACCCAGCAATGAGAGGGAGCAGGCATCAAAAGGAGGAAATGGCGTCATGGAACTCATTCCATTAGTGAGTCTTTGACGATCGCCAATAT